CTGTCTCCACTTGCCTCCACCTGCCTCTACTTGTCTCCACCTGCCTCTACTTGTCTCCTCCTGCCTCCACCTGTCTTCATTATTAATAAAGTATACATATATGAGCAGTACTTCAGTGTTGTAATACATCGTATTTTAAAAAGTTGTTTTAATTCTGAACAATAAATGTAAAAGTACAATATTTACTTCTGAGATGTAGAAGTATAAAATACCCTAAAGTATGCTCAAGTGAAGTACAAGTACATCCAGACTTTACCTGAGTACTGTAGTTCAGTAGAAGTCAGTTATGGATCCGACCAGCAGGGGGCGGCCTCATCAGGGTTTAAATCCCTGAGTACTGACTGGAAGGAGCACAGCTCCTACAAACCGTTTTATGTTTGTTCATTTAAAATATTCTGATTAGAATAAAAGATGAATAATGTTCTTAAAACTAATCAAAGGCTTCAGACATGAAACTACCTTTATAATAAATGTATTCATTCTGCAACAAACATTCAAAACTAAATTTGATTCCATAAGTTTTTATTTACAAAATGTTTTTTATCCAAACGACCGCCTTTAAATAAAAAAGTTGAATTATGAAATAAAACAAGTCACTAGAAAAATACATGTTTCATAAAAAGGACTTTTTAAATGTAAATAAAAACTCTTTCATTACATTTTTGGATTTATTATTCTTCAAATTTAATTGAAAGTAATTTTATTTAATAGTTCATTTAAAATGCAGATAACCACAAACATGTATTAAACTACTGCAGTAGTAGTACTACAGTACATTTTTAATAATAATAAACTTTATATTTTAGGAAACAAGAAATCCTTCACATTAGATTAGATTAGAGAACTTTAACTCATTTGCACCCAAAGACTCATACAGACGCCACAGTCCACAGTCCACAACAGACAGAAACACATTACAAAGGATCAATAACACCAGACAAGGCCAAATACAACATGGTCCACATCACAGAGATACAAACCTCTAAAGGTGGTCATTAAAGAACCGGACTGCGGCTGGAAGGAAAGACCTTTTGAGTGGTTCAGTAGAGCACGGAGGCGTCCTTTGTCCAGTGAAGACACTGTGTGGTGGACGGCCTTCAAAGGAAACAATCGATCTTAACTTGGTCCTTGTTCTCTTTTCTACAGTAAGTCTAGTGAGTCTGGTGAGTCTGGTGAGTCTAGTGAGTCTGAGTCTAGTGAGTCTGGTGAGTCTAGTGAGTCTGAGTCTAGTGAGTCTGGTGAGTCTGGTGAGTCTAGGGTTAGGCCAACTACTGAGCCAGCATTTCTGATCATCTTAAAGGAATATAACTATAAAAACAATAAATAAAACACACAGAACAATAATCTTATTAAAAGTTAGTTTTGTTTATTGGTACAAAATATTATCAATAAACAAATAATATTTTTATTATAATTGCTTCACAATCTACCATCAGTTTGTAGTCATTAAAATGATAAAGTGATGTAATAAATATTTAATAAATATAATTTATATTATTCTACAGAGTACTTTCAGTACTTTAAGTATATTTAGATTTTTTAAAACCTATTTTGACTGCAGGACTAAGTATTTTTAGACTGTAGTATTACTACGTTGCACTTATATACTAAGTATATAACTGTGATACAAAATAAAGGGGGCGTGTCCTGTGAAGAGGGCGGGGCTTCCTGCCTGCCAGTCCTCCCACCGGGTTTATTTCCCTATTCTCGGTGGACAGGTTGGCTGCTACTGGTTTTTAACTCGATCTAAAGTCGATCCGTTTTAACGAGTCTCTTCACTTCTGTCCCCGAACATCAGCTCCGTGTGTTCGGATACAAAGAGTCCGGAGGAGCCGGTAGAGATCTCCCGGTGCTCGGAGCCATGCTTTAACGGATTAACCGGAGAAACCTGCAGGTGAGCTCGTTTTTATCCGTTAACTTGATTTCATCGATGTTAACACTCAAACACACACAGAAATACTTTAAATACTATTATAAACGAAGTGCCAGGATCCCATCATCATGTCGGCATAAACACACAACACATAACGGTGATATTCATTTAAATTCAACTTGTAGCACCACTTCTCCTGTTATTTCTGGCTTCTTCTCGGAGAACATGAGCGGTACGTGGCTGCAGCAGAGAGCGAAGAAGGTGAAGCTTTACAGAGAGATCTCTTTAAAAATAAATACATAATAGTTTATCACAATATGCCGAAACGACCAGCAGAACAAATCAACTCTTTATCAACCAGTTTCAGTTGTGAGTAAACATTCATGCGTTATTAAACTGAAGTTTTTCTTCAATTGACGGACATCTGAATGGAGTTCGGCAGATTGTTTAGTGAGACAAATGAAGGTGAAGAGCAGCTCAGACGTGTTTCATAAAGACCTGAAGTTCATCAGTCAAATACATAAGATAACACGAGCCGAGCTACCGGACAGGTGTGTGAGAGGCAACAGGCGGTCCCCGGCTGTGAGTCCTTTTGTTCGGCCTGAATGGAGCCCGGTTACCGGGGAGGACCGAGATAACGCGCTCCGTATTGTTCCATCCGGGTTACCGGGAGGTTACCGGGTGTTTGATCTGCTTTTGTTCCCGTTATCTTTGACTTTAGCTGCACGGCTTCAGAATCAGAACCATTTATTGACGATGCATAACAAACAAACACAGTGCAAAATAATAGAAACATTAAAATGTACAATCAAATATAAAAGATAAAGATAAAGATAAAAGAAGGCGTGAGGCCTTGGTCCCGATGGACCTCAGAAGAAACTGTTCATGTGGCGTGACGTCTTGGTCCTGATGGACCTCAGAAGAAACTGTTCATGTGGCGTGAGGTCTTGGTCCTGATGGACCT